GCCCCAGTCGAGTAGCTACAAAAGCATTGTTTTCAAGATAAATTCCTCTAAAGTTTAAAATCAATTAGCATTATGTTGTTTTTATAGTAACGTTTGCTTACAAATTTGCCAACTTTCCAGGTCGGGTAGGTATAAAAAAAGACGTAAGTCCCCGCAAGGCCTAACTTCTTTTCCCATTCTAAGTTTAAGTCCAACCGCCCACAAAAGAATTAAGAAAAAAATAAGGAAAAGATAGAACAAGCAAGCTTGCCTGGGATTAATGCAGCGACACTTGGGGCAGACAAGTTTGACACAAGTTTGACACAAGTTTGATTTTACGATAATAGACCTTTCCAGAAAGGTATGACACTAATACCGTAATATTTAAAGCCCATTTTCTTAATCTACAAGTGCAAAGCATCTTGTGACAGCTATGTCTGAAAAACAAGCTTTCTGAAATACAAAATTTCGCAATAGGACAGTCTCGTACTACAAATTACACACGCAATTGTTCCTCCAATTCATCTGCCTTATCTCTAAGGCATTGGGCCGCATCTGAACCTTTGTTGTTGACTATATCTCTGACAGTGAAAGTCAGCTCCAGGGCATCAAGGATTAGAAACGCTGCACTCACTCCCATAATGATTTCGCCCGCTACCTTGGCTCCAACCTTTGTACCGACTTTTCCCACAGCATTGGATCCCTCTTTCACAGCAACGTTGCCAGCATTAGACGCTGTCTTCGAACCAGCTTTACTAAGCGCTCTAGTTCCAGCTTTTGTTCCCACTTTCTTGGACACTCTGGTTGTTATCCGCTTACTAATTTTCTGAACAGTCACAGCTCCAGTTTTTCCAGCTCTTCTGACACCCGTGGTCACGCCGATGTTAAGAACCTCTCTGGATCCGGTTTCAACGATTCCTCTAGTTGCTGTAGTTGTGGCCCCTGTCACACCAAGTCTCAATGCTAGTTGAGAAACGCCTCGCGTTCCAGCTTCAGAAAGAACTTTGGAAAGCAGATCAGGACGAAGAAGACTCTGTATAAAGGTAACAGCCAGATGGTTTGGACCAAGCATTCTGGCAGCAAGACCGGCAAGAAACACCAATCGAAACTGACTTTTACCATTTTTCAACAGGCGAATTTTTTCCCTAACGTTATTTATTGCACGGTTAGCATTTTCCACGGCACCATCTGCCTCCCGGATAAGAGAAGAATTGATACAGGCTTCTACAATATTTGCACCAAGGCTTGTGCAAGCTCCGGCCGCTCCAATTGCTGTTCCCGCCATTAACAAAGGTGCAGCTACACCAGCTGTCATGACTGTGGCAAATCCTCCACCCACCGTCAGCAAGCCGCCTAAGATTCCAGCACCATTTCCAGCAGCAGAGGCAATTTTGGAATCTTTCCACACCTGGTCGAGATAATCAGCGGTGGAACGTAGATTTTTAATCGTACTTTCTACCGCAACGTTCATTTCCTGGACATTCTCTGCGACGGCATTGACTTCTTGTACCATTCGTTCCATTTCGGCCTGATCGACGATATCCTCTCCATCCTCGTCCCCTAATATTAGACACAAATTCAAATATTCATAAACGGCCAAATAACAACAAACACACACGCCCACTAGACATGCTTAGGGTTAGATCATTAGAAATCAAGGAAGTGAGGGGGAAAGCGTGTAAGGCAAGATCTCCTGAAATTAACTGTAAGCAGTTCACCATCCAAATAAATTCTTGAAAAAACAAAGATAGAAACAAGAAACTGGAACAAAGTTCGGAAAAACCCTAGAAAAGAAATTCTTCCACTAAATCGACCACTCCTTATGTCCCCTTGTATATAACTAACCTTTTATATCTCAATATTCTAAAATGACAAAAAGAATTTTCAAGACTCCATTGTCTGTTAATGGGCCAATTAATTCATCCTCGGAGAGCTAGGAGCAGTATGTTCGGGCAGAACGAAGTGCACCTGGTAACAAATTGTAGCAGTAAAAGTTTTCATGAACGGCTGGGAGAGCCCCTGACAACTGAATCTCTTCCGGCCATTTCGCTCTGCAAATGCTGGCAGAAAAATTATTTGTACTATTCTTCCCAATAAGCGAATTCTTTACACGGCCACTGCAGTTTCGTTCCTACGGCAGAAGTATTATTTTAATTTTCCTTTTTGTAACTTATTTTAGAGCGATAAAAACGAGGGAAATCATCTCGCGTATCAGCAAGAAAGATACCTGTACTATGATTCACTGGGAAAAGTTTCGTTTCAACGATCAAAGCCGCGGGCATCGTAGATAGTGGCTTGTTTATCGGTCACTTTCGCATACTCCATCCACACCTAGGCATCTGGTTTTTAATATTAGTATACATTGCTAATATTCTGCTCAACAATTCCTATTATTTCTATTCTGTTTTGCCGGGATCACAATCACTTTCCGCCGCTCACGCAAGGAGGAGCGCGGGCTCCTTTCTCGAACAGCGGCTGCATGGTAATCGAGCTAAGTTCCAGAAAAAGCCAAATATCACATCACCTCAATATTCTGAAGGCAGAATTTCAGTCATCCAAGACTAATGATGACGTTTTGTGAGGTAGTATTACTATCAGAAGCGATAATTGTAGCAATCAAAACGATTTAGTGTCATTACGAAATTTATATAACATTGACAACATTGTAAATTTTAAGTCCAGATGTCTGCATGCATAACTTTAGGAACATTTTTTCGTTCAATTTTTGCTTCTCTGCTCCATTCAAAGTAAGCGGCTGGCTGAGCGAAGTAGATAGAAACCTCTCAAGGCAAATATAGCTGACTGTATTCTATAAAACATGCTTGCAAGAACTTAAGACCCCAAGTTCCCTGACCACCCCACTGGGAGGAGATTGGCCTGTCATCCATCAACAGGACAGGTTCCTCTAGTAAGCAGTGTCCTGTCTCAGCATAGATTCCTCAAACAGCGTTTCACAACTGGGTAAAGTGCCCAGCGATACAGTCAAAATTAATGATATTTAGCAATGAAAACTTACATCAATAGCTTGAAGTGAATGCCTGTGTGTGTTACAAGAAGACACCCTCCCCCCCATTTTGGACAGCTCCCTTGACCATCTCCTCTTTTGGGCCTTAACAGAAGCTCCCCTACATTTAAGGTGGTCAGCTGGGCTCCTGAGCCCCCTGAGTCCAAGAAAGAGCCTTAGGTAGGCATGTTTTCGCGAAATTGCTCACACAGATACATAAAACCATGTACAATGTATAATTATATTTGCCATTACGTACAACTGAGTGCCTTTCTATCATAACATATTCTTGTACTTTCATAAGAAATTGATTGACTCCAGGGGCAAACACAGTTTTTACAATAACTGTCTAATTTCTCGCATGCTGATTGGCTCATTTTTATCATCAACAAGAGTACAGACGGATAAAATCATAATTTAGGCAAGCTTTCAAGTTCAACTTTCAGCTGTCAAACTATCAACTTTTTAACAAATGAAATTTTTAGGGACTTTTTAAAGTAGCCAATCAAAAAGCAAGAAAAGCTATTGACAATGCACGTGTAATTTTGAATAAAATTCACTTATCTTTGTTTATGGCAAGTCTGCAGCATCTTTCCCCCTCATTTATTCCCTGCATTTGACCATTTTGGGGTCTTGTTATTGTAAAAAACAAATTGATGTCATTTTTATATGCGTCTGTCCTCTTATTGATGATAAATTTCATCATAACATTGTCAAAGTTTACAGTGGAACCACTTGCCTGCGGCTCGTGGTTCCATGGCCACTTTGACAATGTTATGATGCAATTTATCATCAACAAGAGGACAGATGCATAAAAAACTGACGTCAACTTGTTAAATAACAACAAATTCAAGATAGAAACATCTTTCAAGCCTGAATCACCAAGTTAACATGCAATGATCTGCAATGCACCCTAATTAGCTAGTATAAATTTAATTCAAAGTAAAATAAATGTGCATCAAATATCAGACCACAAGACTTCTGATAATTTCTACAATTTTTTTTAGCAGGAAAAGATGAGTTGTTTGACTTGCTGGGCTTATTTGTCATTGGGTTGTTCACCTCTAAACAACTAGTTCACCACCTGTTGGCAATAGCCAATTTAATTTAATTTTATTATTTGATGTAAGGTAGAATTTGTGAACTTTACCAGATCCAATGCACCTGTTGACCGGCCCACCCCTAATGTACTTGGTCCAACAGAAACCAGAACTCATGTCTCTACCTCTAATTCAAACACCTCCACAACAGACACTAAGCTCCATCTCTTTGGTGTCCACATTAGAGGAAAATGCCTGTATTTCATAATTTTGGACAAGCTACCACATCTACAAATATATCATTTTGTTGGTGACTTAATTATTTTGGGGTCAGGGGGCAGGATACTCTGCAAAGTTCTATATGGGCAGGCTCTGCCCTGAGGTCCAACCCCTTACACTTTTGTATAATAATTGACAGAAAAAATACCCCTTTTGTATACCTTTAATTGAAAGAAGCTACCCCTTTCACATACTTTCATAACTGGCCCATATTATGAATAAATTGCCAAAAAAGCAAGTCTTCTAGTCACTTTCATGTAGTACCTAATAAATGAAATGGTACAGCCATAATGTGTGTCTGTTGGAAATATTTTAATTTAAGCACCTTTAAAATGATTTAATAAAATGAGAGATTTCCATGTCATGTACCTCAACTCGTGAAATCTCTTCCCTTTTATATACCTGAAGCCTGAAAAAGGTAACCGTTTTGGGTGGAGCTCACTGTATAGACCATTATAGGGAGTACCCCCCATGATTTGGGGTTGCTTTCTCTCTGGCAGGTGGAGTTTCAGACCTCACTGTGAAATGAAGTCCCTCCATCAGTTTCTCCTGGGATTGCTTCACAGGCATGATTCTGCCAGCAACTGAAAATAACCCTTCAAAAGTATCTATTGGTTGTTTCATGATGAACATTCACTAACCATTTTCAGCTCTAGTAGCTTGATTAAACCTGCTGTATTTTAGTGACAGAGTTAAGTGTCTACACAAAGAATAATCTCAAAGATGTTATCTGGCACATAAAGAACTATGGTCATATTTTAAACTTTTTTTAAACTTTTTTTTCACAATGACAGATGCAAAGTGCAATATTTACTGTTCAGATCAACATTACAATTATTAAATTTCACATTTCTTTGTTGATATGTTACATATAAAATACCGGGTGTCACCCTTTGTAAAAATCCCATCCAGTGGGAAATATGTAGTCCTATGTAGTCTTTTCATGCTATAGAAAAGGGAGTTACATGTAAGTGCAGACTATATTTTTGGCAGCGTCTTAAGGGTTGAGTAACACAGATTGTCGTTTTACAAGCATCACTATGTATACAGTTTTCACTGGATGGTTTTGGTTGAATACTCGGTTGACTTTGCTATAAGCCACACATCAAATAAATTATGCACGTTGTGTAGAAAAATTGCACTCAATAAAATCAAAATCATGATTGGACAAAGCTAAAATCAACTTGCTGATAAACAAGTCAGTATTTGCAATACCCTTGATTGCTCAAAGCAAACAATTTCCTGGTGGATCTAGGATTATCTTTCTTGCTGACATCCACAATGACCTGACTTGTTTTGGCTTTTGGCTCTGAAGTAAATTAAAATGAAAGTTTTCATTGTGAGAATGCAAAAAGGAAGTTATGGCTGACACAAATAGCCATGGAGGAACACACAAAAGTGACTCCATATAGATACTGTTTGCCGATTGGGCACAAAAATACAAAGGTTTTTTCTGCTTGATCACCTGTCAGCCAGCATTCACAGTTGTTTGGAAATGGTGTGAAGTTCTGAGGGGCTCCTCTAGTCAATCTTGAAAACTTTCACCACTAAATTTCTGCAGGGTTTACTTCAAGTTCATTGTGCCTCAACCGTAATCACTGCCACTGGGTCTCTCACAATGATTAAAATTCTAAAATTGCCCCCAGGTTTACACCTGGAGGGACTAAAACAAAAGAAATTGTTTATTCAAACCTCAAAATCAATTTTTAGTCATCAGAGTAAGCCTTGGAGCCATATTAGAATTTTAATAAACATATAGAAAAATAAATAGCATATTCACCATAAGTTCAGACTTGATATACCAAGAAAACAAGATTAAATCTTATAAAAGTAACACAAAGCACCATTTAGAAGTCACTCTTCATTGAAATTGAAAATATCTAACAAAAGAATTCTGGAGACATTCATTCGTGAATCTTTGATAGCTCAAAGAGATCACATTCTGGGGAATATTCTGCTAGCAATTTGATGGAAGCTACTAAATGTAGTGGGGTAATTGAATTTAGAACTGAGAACTTTTACCCGAGTAATTGGCTCATAGTAAAACTTCAGAAATATTTGAGAAAATTAAACAATCTAGTTTGATTTCAAATCATAATTTAACGTTTAAAATGGAAAGAAACATTACTGGCCTTACAGATGTAGAGATACTTTGGTGATATTGTAAATGATAGAAGTTGCATATTTTTGTGGCTTTCAATGATAACATTAAATTTTATCAGTGTTTGCTGATACCCACTATAGCTACAATATTTTTATGACTTCCATTTTTTAAAGTGGGCAACCCTAAAACACAGAATCTGGAAACTGGAATCCGGAATCTGAAAACTGGAGACTGGAAACCACAAATGAAAGAAAGACACGTTGAAGGGCAATTCCACAGTTGCAGAGTTGTTACATTCAGATTCAATTTTGAAACTAATTTAGCACAGACAAAGGATAAAAGGGAGTTGTCCAGTTTTCCATTTATGAACATGTTTGTGCGTACTGACATGTTAACTGGGCTATACAATTTTTCCAGTTGACTGATTCCTACAAGCGAAATAGGGCAAAAAATATCTGTTGCAGACCTGACATAAAAAACAACCACAATATTGAGCGCGTTACTATTTCTTCAAAATTCCTGTGAAGTATCAGCGGGTTTTGCATGAACTGTCCCAAACATATGCAGTTAAATAGTTGTGTGACCCAAAAAGGCTGATTTTATTTGAACTAACATTCACAATCTTGCAAGGGTACTTGAAGTTTAACATCGCGGACCTTACGCTGTGTGAATCATTGCCAAGTATAGAAGATAAAGCAGCTTTCCTGTATTGTTCTCAGTCATATAAGGCAAGATAGGGAAATATTTAACGATTATTGGCCAAAGGCGAAGTGAACATTGGTGAATATTCACCAATGTTCACTGAGCCTGAGGCGAATAATTGTTTCAGTATAATTTTCAGAGATGAATATCAAAGACTGCAAAATAAAGCACTAAAACATAAAAACACAGATGCATATGCAGCCGTAGTTTAATAATAAGCTTACATGTACATCAATTGTGAATTAATTTACCTATTGAGTTCAGCAGTAAAACGAACGAGCGAAACACTACGAAAAATAAATTCATCCAGTACCTTTGTTTTACCGTTGTTAACTTCATTCACAATTGTCATCATCATCTAAAAACGAGTAGCTTTAGTTTGAAGAAAAATAAATTTTGGTCAATTGATCTGACCTCCTGGCAATCAAAATAACCACTGTGTTTATAATTCTTGAATGCCTTGAATACGAGTTCTTGAAAAGATTGTGGGTCCAAGGGTGACAGCAGTCAATGCAAGTTGAAAAGTCTCCATCCTTTCAAATATCCTGGACTTGGGAAGATGTCTTTTGCATAAATGAAAATTTCATTCAGAATCTGTCGGCCATGTTTACTTCCCGAGATGGGCAAAGGTTATGAGCTTAGTAACCAAGCACTAGGGGAGTGAATATAGCGTTATATGCTGCGCTTTTCGACCAATCAGAATGTCCAATTCTTATATTCACCTCTGGAATGATAAGTGTTCATTTTTTTTGTATGTCATTACGAATGAAACTGGTTGGCTCTTCATGTAAAACCCCTGAAATATCACAACACAGTATGGGGGACAAAACAAGCTTTTTACATCAACAATAACCAGCATAAATCCGTTGTTCCCTCAAATTAATCCCCAAAATAATTATCCTTTGTTCCCTTGAAACAAAGGACCATGTTCCCTTGTTCCCCCAAACCCCTGAGGCTCTGATCATAAGTGCGAAAGGTCAGTACGCCTTTTGTTCAAACATGTACAACAGCGTGAGCTAGCTAAGAGAGAAATGGAGTTGCTGTATCTTTACACCGACCTTAAAAGTGACATACTTTGCAGTGAACGGGTTTTTCCACTTCCACTTGAAGGGGAGGTGATTCGAGTACAAAAGTGTTTTGAAACGTGAACTACAAATACAGACATAATATTGCTGAAGCTGACAAAACACCCAGTTCATATTGTGGATAGTAACATAAATGTTTCGATCCGCTACTTTCGTTGTTAAGCAACATTATTTAGTTCATTCTCTTTGGAGAATAATTTTTTGAATACTAAATGAAACTTAAGTTTAAGCTTTACATATAACAGTTTGATGCCCACTTACCTTCGACGAAGATACGATTTCTAAAGACGTATAATGCGATCACTACCATTACTGGG